AGTATATGGTGGGCTGCAGAAGAGGGGTACACCCTGCTCCTGACACTTCCCAGACGTGGCACTCATGCTGACCCTCCTCCGTGGGTGGAGGAGGGTCAGGGCCCAGACGTTCATGGAGAAGGATCAAGTAGGCGGCTGTGAGGAATGTGGCAGGAAGAAGGAAGGGCCTGAAGGGTCAGTGAGGCCACCCGGATGTGAGAGCCGGGGAGCTGCAACACATGGGCTGTGTATGGGGACTCCTAGAGCAAAGACCTGACTCTGGAGATTCCAACATGTCAGGTCCTGCCACTCACTCCAGAGAAATCAACTGAAAGTAATTGTGAAAGGATTTTAATAAAAATGGCTATTTTGGGAGGGTGGTGACTAAGAATTTCAGCCAATTTGGGGGGTACCAATAAGAGCTTTGGGTTTAAATAGAGGAAGAACTGGGGCAGGGGGAGAGATATGCATAACCAAGATAAGCAGTCTTGGTCAAACTCTGGTCTGTTGTTCATTGCTTCAATCAGGCTCTGCAAAGTGACCCAAAGAACTTCGTATTGCTGGAGGAGATGATGAAAAAGTTCCCATGAGATGATGGCTCCTGCTTGGGGGTGATCTCATCATAGGGAGATCTGTCCATGAGGCTTTGCTGTTCCTTAAATCCAGTGTGGTTTAGGACTGACTAGAGACTTTCAGGTGCCTTTTGAGGGTCTGGAACAGGACAGTGTAAAAACTGACAGAAAGGTGCCTCAGTCACTCTTGTCTTTAGGCCTTTAGCCCCTAAAGGGGGTGAGACAGATTAGTATCACTGGTTTTTAGAGACTCCTTGAGAGATTACCATACCTGTGTGCACAGTAGAGCAGGAGGCTGATCCATAGACAAAGGAGACAGATGCAAAATAAAGGCAGGGATGTCAGGCTTCTATTCTGCCTTTAGTTATCTTGTGGGCCAAGTGAGGAGTCAGTATGTTTTAGCAAAAGCAGTTTCTAAGTACCTGTTACAGATGGAGGGACTCGGGACGTTCCAGGAGTCCAGGAAACCGGAAGCTGGGACCACAGAGAAGATGGAGTCCAGAGAGAGGGGACAGTACCAGTTTTTGTTGCCCTCATCCTTACCATGGCCACCAAGCCCCAGTCCTGCTGGAAGGATGAGGCAGCAGGCAGGTGCACCTCAACTGCTTGGAGCAGTTAGGGCTTTAGAGAAAAAAAAAAAGATCCCATATTTGGCCATTCCTAATATTCAGCGTACAACAAAGGCAGCACTTTGGTGGCACTCTCAGGCCAGGTGATAACGGCTGCAGCCACTGCTCTGGCAGGAGCAGCTTGGTCCAGAACCTGCCACATGCCAGACACTGTCCCTCAGGATCTTCTGGGACCTGGGCACTTAGAGCTGGAGCCAAGGGTCCACTCTGTCCTAAGCAGGGGTTAGTGTCCAGTAGCACCCAGGGCGAGGCCTGTGCCTCCACATGAATGGCCTATGTGTCATAAGCAGACTACGTCAGAAACGTAAAAGAACATGCTTGTGTCTTTCCACAACATCAAACTTAATGAACAATGACAAATTCACAAGTGACACCATTTCACTAATTCATCAAGCACTACTGATGTCACTTGACAGCCATTGGCAACACGTTTTTTCGTTCCAATCTACCAGTCTGAACACTCCTGGTATTGAGTGTTGAGCATCAAGACATTCTCCTCACACACCAGCAGGACACAGGTAATGCTAAGAGCCGGTAAAAGAGACCTCAGCATTCAGAGGGGCTGCCGCACAGACATGAGCTGCTAGAAACACAAGGAAAAGTCTCTGTAGGAGACCAGACAAGGTTTATGAGCCGCAGGTGAGAGCTGTTCAAGGTGTCACACACAGGTCTGCGTGACAGGCCATTTCAACTGCCAGTTTGAAGTGTGCTGCGTGTCACAGGCAGGAGAAACTACCCTTGAGCTGCCGTCTAGGGACAGAGGCAGAAGTCCTTTACCTTGGCAATTTTCCTGTGGAGGCTCATGACGGGTGACCAGGTGGAGGGTCAGTGTGGCTACCACATCTCAGTCTTGGAGTAGGGCACTCCTCCTTTGACAGCCCCATGTGAGGGGTTACAACTGGAGTGACTGATAGGTGTTCTGTGTTCTGATGTGATCTGATGTATTTTCAGATTATTCCAGATGTAAGTATTTATTGACACAAATAAATTATTAGTTTGTACTTCATAGTGTGCTGCACCTGGTAGCCGTCTGCCTGCATAAACAAGATGTAGAGTCGTTCTACTCTTGACAATTTTATACAAAATGGAGTCAAGGCAGAGCTTGAAAGCTACTGTACTCTACAATACGGAGCAGAGAACAGCCTGATCTCCACACAGTAGCAGAGCAAGCACATCAGGAGAGGTAAGGGCTGAGAAAAGTGTGCTAGAGGACCTTGGCCCGAGGATCCTGATGACCTTTAACTTGATGGTCAGAGATCTTGACCTGTGATTCATAGCCTGAAGATACAGAGTTCCTGGAAGCAAGAACAAAACACACTCAGGTGCTGCCCAGCTTCCTGGTGAGGCTTGGATTCCCCTGGAGCAGCTGGGTGTGGAGCAGTGAGGAAACACCACCCAGAACAGACCTGGTTGCTGTCCACCCCACTGACTGGACTGCTCCCCAGAGTCCCTTTGGGGACTTTAAGAGAGGAAAAGCAAGGGGACTCAGGAGATGGGAAGGAGCAGTTCCAATTCCAGAACGGTGAGAAATTAACAGGCCTTGGGAACCTGTAAGCTCACACACCCACTCCCTCACAGCTAACCTCAGTCGCCAAGGCAGCTACAAACACCACATCAAGGCCAGGCTGCCTGCTCAGCACCAGCTGGGCTCCTGGACACAAAGTCAGCCCCAGATCCTGCAGTCCTTCTGGGGAAGGGTCCTGGCCAGTCGAGGTAGCCAATGAAGTGCAGGCTTTTCAAACTGTGATTTTTCAGACTGGCTCTCTGATGCCCAACCAGCAACACAGTGATGTGACAAAGGCCACAGAACCAGCCCAACATGGAAGCAGATGAGGGCAAAGGACCTGTGCCCAGTGTCCTATCCAGATTCTGGACCCATCCTGGCTTTCATGCAGGAGGACCACAGGGACAGAGCAGAGAGAGCAAAGAGAGACTTCCTGTCCGCGGTAGTTTTTGGGATGCCACCAGTTTTGGGCACTAGGAGAAGCCTGGAGCCCTGGTCACCATCCTCAGCTGACCCAGATCCCAGCTGGGGAGGATATCTTGGGTGTTAGGGCCAGCTTTCTATGGGAAAATAGGGTACTTTCAGGGGTAGAGGACACTTTCTGCTGTGGTCATCCTGTGCATTTTCTGTGCATCATGAAGCATACATAATAATACCTCTGGAGGTGGCTTTGCTGGTGTGTTTCCTGAGGTGAGGTGGCAGCAGGAAGTAAGGTTCAAACACTGAGTCGGTGAGAAATAACTGCTGGGAAGTAAGGACTAGGGTGGTTAGGTGTGCTGACACAACAGAGAGGACCCCTGGGAAGTGGGGGCTAGCCCAGTAGGGAGCAGTTCCCGGGGACCTCTCCTTTCCTTTACCCTCGGTTATTATTCCAGAGTGCTACAGAGGCCCTGGTAAACAGGGTTCTAGACATATCAGGAAAGAGAAAAGGCCACACCAGTCGGGAAAGTCAGTGGAGGAAGGGGTTACTTACAGATACTGGGCTCTCCTGGGCAAGGCATGTGAGGGATGGGGTCACTACACCATGGAATGTGGTGTCCCCCCAGGCATGGGGCCACATGAGCTGGGCAGCCTTAACATTTAAAGTACACAGGAGGTTTCTGGCCCACCCACCAGAAACCACCTGTCATATGCTAAAAACAAGGAAAATAAAACCTCCCTGTCCTTTTGGAATGCACAGAGGTACTAAAAACGACTATATATACAGGTCAGTGGGTTGTGCTGGGGTTTGGGCAGAGGGAGGCAGAGAACAGGCTGCAAGAAGAGGGTGGGTGCAGGTTGAGACCCATGCCTGCACTTGGCGGGGGGTGAGTTCCTGGCAGTTGACTGTGATGATTATTGTGAGCTAATGAATGAGCGAGTGAATGGACGGACAGACACCATGGCAGCTCCAAGACCTCATGGCAGCTCCGAGACCTCGGGCGTGCACGTTAAACACTGAAGCACACAGAACCCAGTGCCACTGGTTCACACCTTAGGAGGCTGAGATCATCAGGATCATGGCTCAAGGCCAGCCTGGGCAAAGAGTTCATGAGACTCCCATCTCCAAAAAATAACCAGGGCAAAATGGACTGGAGGTGTGGCTCAAGCAGTAGAGCACTTGCTTTGCCAGCATGAAGCCCTGAGTTCAAATTCCAGTTCTACCAAAAAAAAAAAAAGCACAAGCTGCTTTTGAGTGGAAAACCACTCAAAGTACAGCATGGTGGGGACTGTGGAAGAGATCTCAAGACATCATTAGGTCAAAAGCAGCTAAAAGTGTTCCCTGGGGCAGCACCCTGTTCCAATAGGAAATGCAACTCAGGCATAGTTTTGTATAATTTGGTACAAAACTCTAAGAAAGAATCCCACAATGTGGACTTGGTCCTGAGTGCTGCTGGCTGTGGATGGGCTCTGACTGACTTCCCCGTGTTTTCCTCACTTTGTTTATTTGACACAGGGTCTCTCTGTGTAGCCCAGGCTGGCCTCAAACTTGAGATCCCCCTCCCTCGGCTTCCCCAGCGAAGCTTTCACCACCACACTTTGCATTTCCCCATTGCTTTTTAAATGCTAGCGCTACCCACCTTACCAAGCACAAGGACAGGAAGGAGGTTGGGGTGCTGGTTGCTGAGGTTGGGTAGTGGCTCTGGCATCCCAGGAAGAGCTGCTCTAGGAGGAGTCAGGGCCCACAGATTCCCATCCGTGGCCTGACTCAGGCTGTTCCCACTGGCCTCCACAGCAACGGCTGCAACAGGCCTCTGATCATGGGCTCTTCTTCCTCCAGGGGTGTCCCAAGAGCCAATGGCAAGGACGAAGGAATCCTGAAGCCTCTGTTCCACCAGCCAGCCATGTTGAGCTCCCGTTGGGTGACCCCTGGCTATGTTCCCAAGATGCTTGGGGCCTTCCTGCTCTTGGCCACCTCCATGAATGCTCAGAATAAAGGTAGGTCTCCAGGTTCTGCTCTCTCTGCTGGGGGAGGAGTCCAGCGGGCCAGACAGGGTGGGAAGGGAAGACCAAGGTCACACTCAGAAGGTCTGAAGGCCCCCAGGCCCCAAGTGATAACTGTGACCCTGCAGGCCCAGGTCCTGAAGGTGAGGAGCAGGGCTGGCACCTTTAGGTGGCAAAAGGGCAACTGTGTGCCCCTAAGAATGGCAGACAACAAGGCCCCCGCAGTGCCTGGGGTCACTGTCAGAGCATTGGTGGGGTCACCCAAGACCAGGTCAGGTTCTAGGGGAAGAAGAGACCCAGGAGTTGGAGGCCTGGGTCCTAGTGAAGAACCCCAGCTCCACAGGACTAGAAACCTGCCTTGTCTGTTTTGGGCCTGGATCTGCCCTGTCCATCGGCCTCAGCATCGCCAGGGCCCTTAGACGAATGGATCCTCAGATCAGTCATAATTGGGCTCTGTAGTCCCCCAGCACAGCTCACTGGAGCCTGTTCCCCCGGCCCCAGAGGGGTTTAAAAGATGGCACCAAGGCACGTCTCAGAGCAGTTACTCAAACCCCAGCTGAGGCTTCGTAGTGTTTTGTCCCCAGCACGCCACGGTATGGTTGGCCTTAGTGCACTGGGGACCAGCCAAGGACCAGGAAAGAGCCCTCCCCTCCAGGGACTCAACTGTGGGCTCAGGTGGTCACCAAGAGCCTGAGAGGTAAGGTCCCAGCTCAGCAGTGAGGTTCAGACTCTCTCAGACATTGACTAACTCCTGCTCCCAACCTATCAGTCATCGTAAGAAAACACACCACGCAACACAACACTCTGCATCTGACGGAGGTTTCCTTCCCACAAGCCAATCAGTCCTTCCTGCTGCTCTCACCAGCTGGGGGTCACCTAACTGCTTCAGTCTGACACTGTAGACCTGGTGCAGCATCACATCCCACAGGCCCCAAGACAGCCCCAGAGGGTGCCATCTGTCCCTCTGACCAGTGGGCTCTAAGTCAGATTCCCACAACCCCCTCCTCAAGTCCAGTGAATTTGCTAGGGCAGCTTGAGGACTCAGGGAAACACTTTACTTACCCATACTGGTTTATCCTAAAGGATCTTATGCAGGGGACAGGTGGACAGCTAGTAGAGAGATGCCCAGGCCCAGGTGTGCGAAGGGGCAGAGCCTCCACGTCTTCTGCAGGAGCACCACCCTTGGGCACTTCCCCATCTGCAGCAACCTGGAGGCTACCCCAACCCAATTTTGGGGTTTTTCAGTAGAGTTCTTTATGAAAGCATCACCGCTCGTATCGTTGCTGATCAACTCATCCTCCAGCCCCTCCCTCCTCCTGGGAGGTCAGGCTGCTGATAAAGCGTCCCAGCCTCTGATCACCTCCCTGGCAACAGCCCTGGCGGGAGGCATCCAAAAACCTGAGAGGCCATCATAAGAGAAAAGCTGCTCCCATCCCCCAGGAAATCACAAAGGTCTGAGGAGCTCTGTCTCAGGAACCAGGACGAAGGTCAACCGTATGTTTCTTACTGACTCACAATATCACACGCCAGCACTTGTCTCTGTGGCACGGGGCCCTTGTGTTGAGCCTTGCACTCCCCCTACCGCCAACCCCAGTACAGATTTGGACAGGAGTGTGTTGAGAGTGTTTGCATTGTTGAACTGTGCGTGTGCGCACACACGGAGTCCTAGGATGATTTTTGTGAAAAGAAAGGGAAGGCATTTTTAAAAAGCTCCCACAGTCGACACTTAGATGGCCACAGAGCACAGTAAGATTTGAGGTCAGATTCCCAACAGGGATGTCCCCCTGGAGAACGACATCCCCAGGGCTTTGACAAACCCCATATGCGGTCCCACCTAGGACAGGTTACTCTGGGCTACTGAATGGAGTCTCGTCCAAGTCCCCACCTCTTCTCTCCCTGCCAGGGTACCTGAGCTACAGTACAGCCACCTGCCACACCTCCCAGCCCTCACCCCAGACCACCCAATGGAAAAGCCCAGGGAGGAACTGACACCTGCCCCTGCCCAGGGCCCCAAGAGAGCATCTGGTTACTGTCCTGAGGCCCCGTGCTGCCCATGTGTGTGATTGCCCCCTCCACAGAGTGGGACAACGCCATCTGCACCGAGGATGTGGTTTTCGTGTCCAGGGGCGAGCACGCCATGATGGCCTGCAATATCTCCAACACCTTCACCCACATCACCATCAAGTTGCGTGCCCATGGGAAGAACAAGACCATCTTCAGCAAGGATGGCCCAGGGCACTTCTCTCAGGATGGGTGGCAGCTCCAGGTTCAAGGAGGCCAGGCACAGCTGGTGATCGAAGCCGCCCAGGACAGCCATGCAGGGCAGTATCTGTGGCGTCTTCACGGACTCCAGGCATGTAACAAGATCACCACCCTGAATGTTTCAGGTGAGGAGAGGGTTTGGGGAGGGGTGAGCAGGGGAGAAGGGAGTGGGAAAGACGATGAAGAGGGAGAGGGGACCTCTTGCTCTTGGCTTTGAATTCTATCTGCTACCAGGCAAGTCCATGGACCCTTCCCAGCCTGAAACCCACTGCCTTCCCCTCCGCTTTTCCTTCCCTGAAAAATCTCCCCAGTCGCAACCATCCTTCCCTGCCCTCCTGGTTTAATCCATCATGGAGGCAGGAACTGCAGTTGGCCTTGCCAGGAGACCAGGATCTACCTGGATTCCTGCTACCAGGCCTAGGGGAGCACTGGGGCTGCCCCCAACCAGATGTCTTCTTTCTGGCAGAGCCCCAAGACCAGGAAGCAGACCAGACAGAGCCCCTGCCTTCCTGGGGTAAGTACACGCCCCTTGGGCTTGGGTCATCACACTACTGAGTCCAGCCCCCAGCCCACCTGGCACCATTCACCCCTCATCCTCCCAGTCCCGCCCTAGCAGAGGCCCCTGCTGACCAGAGGTGATGGGAAGGGGCTGAAGAGGTGGTGCATGTGGGGCACAGAAGTGAGTGATGTAAGTGACACTGGGTGAATGAATTGCAGGTAAACACCTACCCACCTCTCTCCTCCAGACTCAATGCCTGAAACCCTGGAGTCCAAGAGTTTTGAGGCTTCCACAGGGCCCCGATCCACAGAAGGGGTGGTGGCCGCTGGCATCCTCTTCTTGATCCTGATAATTGTGGGAATTGGTGCATTCACCCAGAACAGGCTCCGCCATTCTTAGGGGCTCCAACAGGTATGAGCCTAGCACCTAGTCAGGTCAGAGCTGTAGGTCTTCCTGGGACCCATACATGATGTTTTACCTTGTGGACCACTCCAAAGCCCTGCTCCCAAAGGGGTCAGCAGGACAATGGGGAAGGCATGCACCTCAAACACCACATTCCCCCAGGACTCCAGTCAGCTATGACCAAAAACACAGACTCCAACTTGGGCCAGGCCCACAGGGACCCCCTCCCCTCAAGCCCTCACTTTGTGCCCAGGACACCCTGGAGGGCAGTAAGAGTTGTGGTCTTCAGGCTCCTCCCAGGGCTCCTGGGGAGAAACTGTGGTTTTTGTCCCAGGGGCCCCTGGCTGAGAATACCATAAAAGTGGGCTCAACTCTTCCTGGGCTCAAAACCCAGGCAGGGCTTGGGTGGGGAGCAGCACGGTGTGTGAGTGAGCCTAGCTTGTGGAGCCTGACTTGAGTGCAGAGCTGTGTGGCTGGTGCTGTGTCTGTGAGTGTCTGTGCCAGGTGTCTGTACCATACACCTCGGTCTAGGCACAGCCCTTACCTGTCCTGCTCACCAGATGAAGAGGCTCTAGTCTGAGAGCCAGAGGGAGTGCCCACCGGCACCGGGCCAGCATGGGGTGGTCACAGTCCCAGCATTGGAGCCCTCACAGCCCACCATCATCTTCTGGATTCCAGATGCTCTTGGAGCCATGACCACCTTCCTGGCAGAGAAAAGAAGGACACTGTCAGTGTTTGCTGGACACAGGAGGCGTGGGACCTGGACTGAGCATAGTGGACCCTCAGTCCCTGTGCAGAAATTGAGGGCAGGAGCTCACTTAGGAAGAGTCTAGGAAGCTGGTCAGTGTCCTGGGCCTCTCTGGGTCATCACACAAAGACAGGAAACCAACCTGACCCCTCTGTGGTCTTCAGCTCCCTCACCTCTTTCCACAAATGACAAAATCTCAAGTTGCACAAACCTTGATGCATGGTGTTCACTCCATCCTTATCCTCTTACAAGGGGGACCTGGGCTCTTTTCTTTGGGCTAAGACCCCTAGGTCCAGGGCCTCTCTTCTCTTCTGAAGGTCTCCAGTGCCAGCTGGAGGGTGTGTGTGGTGGGGGGACAGTCCAGCTTTGCCTTAAGTGAACCTTGCACACACACCTGTGCCCACAACCTGCATGGGTATGCTGGTGAACCTGACTAAGACCAGTGGGGAATGAGAAATAAGACACACACAGACACACAGACATACAGACATAAAACAGAAAAGCTGGGGACGGGAGGGCTGCACGTTCCTGATGGGAAACGTGAGCGCCTACCTGAGCCAGTGTTTATTTTATAGGTCAGTACAAGGAAAAGACTCAGGTAAAAATCAAGCTTCAACAATTCTTTGATCTATGGTAAAAGGAATGAGGTCTGGTGGGCTAATTTTCCTAAGGCTAATGAAGCTTAATTACAACACATCTGTTCTGGAGTCATCAAGCACACAGGACACCTTGTCTAAGGTGTTGATTAATCTGGCATCAGGGAGTCTCCTGACAGTTCTGGTACTTTATCTGGTTTTGCATCAGGGGGTGGTATGCAGACACAGCAGGCTGTGTTCTTCAAGGAGATGTGAGAACAAAGGTCAAGAATGAGAGTAGGAGAGACTGTGCAAACTCCTACCATGGAGAGGCTGTGCAAACTCCACTATTTCCCAGCCCAGGGTTCATGCCTGGTCCCCAACACACCTGTCTTTTGACTGAGGAAGAGTAGCATGTTTGGGGACCCCAGGCAGGGCTCCAAGGACCAGGATGAGAGGACTAGAAGTCTAAAATGATGGTCATACATGTCTCCCACCACCAGGGGGTGGATTGGGCCGTCCTCAGAGAACTGGGGATAAAGGAGGCTGGAGGCAGGTGCCTGTTGGAGTCACTGCTCCCCTGGGGAGGACAACCTGGCTCCTCAGACTCCTCAGGGGACCCTCCCCGAAGACCCCACCCCACTCTGATCTCATCCACCCACCGCACCTGATGTTCCTCTTAGGCCCAAGTGTTTACAACACTTGTCTTTTCTACTACAATGTAATTTCAGCGTTTTCTTCCTACACTTGGGTGAAAAGTGAAAGTTTTTCTAGATATGCCACCTCCAGTGCTTTAGAATAACTACCATAAGCCTAATCTTTAAATGGACGTAATAAAGAATATATAATTAAGGGATATAATTAACAATCCAAGCAATCAGCCGGGAATACAATTGTTTTAGTGAAAACCATAAAACCCTACAAGAAGCTTTGGGGCCTCTGAAAGCACTCAAAGGTGTGGTCCTGAAGATGAAGTTGGTGGGAGGCCTCGCTCACCTGGGAGACCTCAAGGCAGTGTCTGGTGCCCATGACCCCCAAAATCAGGGCCCATGGACTCCTGGGAGATAGAGGGCCTATATCCAGGTGTTCATAGCCTGCACCTCTTGGATCAAAACAAGACTCAAGTCAGGGCGATGCTGATGCTGGGTTTGTCCTCCTCAGGCCAGCTCCGTCCACCAGCTCCCCCAGAGTCCTGGCTACATTCCCGCCCCCCGCCCCTCACAGGTCCTGGGCCCTGAAATCGGTCACATCCTGCCTGAGACCATCAAAATAATGTTGATGCAGAAAGGTCAGGTCAAAGGTCAGCTTTCATGTACATATGATGGTGGGAGGGGTCCAGGAGAGTCACCTTGCCCTCCACCTCCGGGAGTCCTAGGAGGGAGTCCTGAGTCTGGGGTCTTGGCTCTTTCTACTGTCCCCTGCTGCTTCTCTTCTCTTCTCTTCAAGGTTTTCTCAGATGGGGATTAGTGCTGGTCACTGCGATGCCCACCCCACCCTGACCTCCCCTCCCTGTCTTTAACCTCCCCAGCTACAAGGGTTCTGTATCTACTGTTCGTTCCCCCTGCTGGGGCCCTGTGATCTGCCTGCCCAAGTCCTTGGCTTCCTGCCCCCTCTGCTTGACCTTCTTCAACAGACCCCGCCCCCCTGCCCTGTGTCCTACTTCCTGTCCATTTGGCCTCTGTGGAGGTCAGCCCCAGTGGTCTGTGTTCCTCGTCCTCTCTGTTCCCTGTGCTTGGTGCCAGGAGGGTTAAACCACTCCAAGTGTCCAAGAGTGAAGAAACGCCCGAAGTCAAGACTAGGGAGGAGAAGTATCTCAGAACCCATCATTCCCGGCCGCCTTGCAGGGCCGCTGAGGGCCTTTTACCAGATCCCACCCCCAAGCAGGTATGTCCTCATGGGCTAGGACTCCCGTCCCCAGGACTCAGCCCGAGAGATGGTAACTGCACCCCCCACTACAGCCCCACCCTCAGCACAGCACCCCAAGCCTATCAGTCCCAGCCTAGCTGCCCCAGCCTCATCCCACAGGGGCAAATCTGCCCCTCCCCTCCCACCCCCCCCAGCAGCCCCAGCCTTGGGTGCAGGCACAGGCGCCTCCTCCAGAGTCACTCCCAGATGGGCCCCGTGAGGCCAGAGGAGGGACCCCAGTCTGTGCATGTGACATGTGACTTTGCAGATGTCTGTGGTTAAACCAGATCCCAGCAGAACGTAACCCAGAGGATGAGGGCATGCCAGCCTCGGCCTTAGCTACAGCTTCACTTCCCCCACAACCCTGCCTTCACACACATCTGGGGTCCTTGACCTTTCCTTTCCTCCTTTCCCGTCCCTCCCCTTGTCTCTCCTTCCCCCTGATGTCCTCTGAAGAGACACTCCAGGAGAACCAGGACAACCAGCCACCAGAGGTTGGCTCCTCCCACTTGAAAGCTGCCTCTCCCCCTTCTTCCAGGCACCGCCTCCAGGAAGCCCTCTGAGCTCCACCACCAACCACCTTGTGTTGAGCTGCCAAGCCTCTTGCTCTGTCCCCCACCATTAGTCTCGCCGGGCTTTTGGGTGCACATCAAGCACATGCAGCCGAGGAGCCACTCAGCCAGGGTTGCCAGGCTGAGTTTGGGCAGCATGACCTGGTTCTCGCTGCTGGCCCTGCTGCTTAGAATGGCGAGCACCACCCAAGGTAAAAGCTACCCCACCCTCTAAGGCTCCTGCCCAGCATGGCACTGACCCACCTGGGGAATGGGGTGGGATGCTGAGTGCCACCTTCCTGCAGAGCCCCTACCCCTCCTCCAGGGGTAGGCGTCAGAACAAGCGTTGGTCTGGGCAGGCAGCAGCATCACAGTGAGTTCTTGTCTCTCTCTCTACCTAATGTCCAAGACTTTCTTTTACCTTTATCACTGTCAGGACTTTGGCCTTTAGTTTTCTTTCAGGGCAGATTTATGTGGGTGGGAGTCCTTGGGGCTCTGCACTTAAAATCCTGTGCAAAAAATAACCCCACAGAGTACTGAGTTTGGTGAGAAGCTGAGGTTTGGTTCACATGGAAAAAAGCATCCTGTCTACATCCAGAAGCTAAGCATTGCTGAGCCCTGGGCAGAATGGACAAGGCTTGTTTCTGGGGGTCAAGCCAGCAGGTCCCCCTTCACAGAGCCACAGGCTCTGACCACCTGGAAACGAGGGTGGGGGAAACCGAGGCAGCCAGCGTTGAGAACAGAGGCTAAGGGGAAAAAAGACAATGACCTACAGCTGTCTCAGGACTTGAAGCTTAAGAGAGGGAACAGAGTGGCCAGAGCTGCCCAGAAGGAAGAAATGCCAAGACTCAGGGCAGCCTGGCCCTGTGGCCCCATGCAGCCCTCAGAACTTGAGCACAGTCCCCAAGGTGCCAGCTTCCAGGGCTGCTCCAAGGCCCCATGGGCACCTTGTGTTTGGTGCCATGTTGGACCCCCATAACCCCGCCATTGTCCTATAGATAGGACAGCCTCTGTACCTCTGGCCAGCCTGGTGGTGACAGCAGCGGGTCCCCCCACAGAGGTGCAGCAGTTTCCCTTCCACACGACAGCCCCCGAGGGGGGCTCGGTCAGCATCACCTGCTCCAGCAGCAAGCCCCTGTACGGGATCTTCCTGAAGCAAACCTGGCCACAGACCACCAACGTGATTTACTACGATGGAAAGCAGCCCACCGTGGACAAGCAGTTCTGGAACCGCATTGCCTTCTCCGGGTCTCAGGAAAACCTAACCATCACCATGAACCACCTGCACCTAGCCAACTCAGGCGTCTACACCTGCCAAGCTGTCATGGAAGATGACATCTGGGGCTCAGGCACCATGGTCGTGGTGACAGGTAGGGAACATGCTGACCGACTGCTGGTCCCGGTCCAAGGACTTTCCATCCTACACTTGCTGGAGCTGCTTCTCCTCCAGGCAAGCCCTCCTCCTCCAGGCACCCTCCTAGATTGCTGCCCCTCTACTTCCTCCACAGCCCCTCCCTGCCATGAACCCCAAAGGCTCTAATGGGGTCCCCCAACATCTAGGAGAGTCCCCTGCTGCCACAGGCTTCTTTTTTTCCCCTTCCCAGAAAAGCTGTCCCAAGGAGTATGCAGGTGTCAGGAGCCTCAGCTGATGTCCGTCACCCTCCCATCTATCCTTACTGTGGGCTTCTTCCTCATCGGGATAGGCCTGGGCATGGTGTGCATACTGAGGAGGTCACAGGTCAGTGCCAGCCCACAGCTGACACCCACAAGCTGGCCCTTCTCACAGGGGCAGAGAGGGAGAGAAGGACAGGACTTAAGTCCCACAGAGCTGGCCACTTGGGAAGCCCCAGAGCCCACTCAGTGCTCTGCCCAGGGTCCCCAGAGGGCTCTCAGGGTGTAGATGGCAGAGTTCTAAAGACACGGAACAGTGGGAAGTGTGTGGGGCACCTAGGGGAGGACAGGGTCCAGAGGGTGGGGCCGGCTGACCAGATTGCAGCACAACTGCATGTGACTGAGCGCATGCGTGAGTGTGCTGTGTGCATCTGGTGTGAGGGTGGGTGTGTGGAGGGCCATACGCCACTGTGTGAGTGTGTTAGAGTCAGGGTGTGCTGGGGGGGAAAGGGAGGGGACAAGGGACAGACACAGGGGACTTGCAGAAGTCGGCTATGCCCTGGTCACTCAGCTGTTTGCCCCTGGTGGTGCAGCCAGGCCTGTACCTGACTGCAGCTTAACCCCTGCCCAGGTCCAAGTGAGGGGTCTGCCCTGCCCCATTAGATCCAGGTTGAGGGGTCTGCCCTGTCACCCCCACAGGTCAGGGTGAAGGGTCTGTCCTGTCCCCTCCAGGTTCTAGTCTACTCCGCCCTCCAAGGTCCAGGTGAGGGGTCTCTCTGTCCCATCACTGCCCAGGTCTGGGAAACTTAAAACTAAAAAGCTTCCCAAGGGGTGTGTGTTTTGAAGAAAGGGGGTGCTCAGAGCCAGGTGTCCCTTGGGACCCCAGGCTGGCCACTGCTCAAGTGACAACAGGCTTTCTTTTAGATCAAGAAGCTCTGTACCTCCGAGTCTAAGAACCCCTCGTGCATGGTGTATGAAGACATGTCTTACAGCTGCCGCAACACCCTGTCTGCCCCGAACCTCTACCAGTGAACCCACCGGGCCCTCTGTCCCTCTCCCACCATCCCTTAGGCCCTGCCTCAGCAGAGCTCAGAGGTCTGCTGACCTGCTGACTCACCCAGCCCAGCTCGCCCACTGCCTCTGTGCAGGCCACTCTCGAAGGCACTCCTCCATGCTTCTGGTGTGTACAGGCGCCTCCTCAAGGAGGGCTTCCCTGCCTGCCCGGATACCCCAAGGTGGCCCTGGTCATGCTGCCATCCGGGAAAAGCTGAGCTTTGTCCTTTGGCAGCACCCTTCCCCTCCCAAGACCAAGGAGCCCCTTCTTTGTTGGGTGGATTCCCAAGCCCTGGGAATAAATAGCCTGGCAAAGTGAGCAGAGAGGCCCAGTCCCCATCCAGCTCATGAGAAATAAAGCACTTATATTGTTCCTTTCCTGACCTTGGCATTTATTCCCCAGCCAGCCCATAGCAGAGGAGAGCAAGGGGTTTAGCCTGCCCAACCCCCTCCCTAGGCACCCACTAGGGCTTTTGCAGCTTTTGTTACTGTGTGAGACCCTGAAGAGGATCAGAGAGGAGGGAGGGACCCCAGCAGCCCTGGGTGCCCTGAAAAGCAGCTGACCTGCACAGGAAGGGCATGGTCCAGGGGCTCTCTGCACACTCCACCTGCTCCAGAAAGCAGCATTCTCAGGCCTCCAGCCTCTGTGGGTCTGCAGAGGCTGACAGCAGGCTCTGGGAAGGGCACTGGTGCAGCCCTGGGTTCCTTCAGCCCCATTCCACCTCATACACCCCAACATTCACCCAACACCTTCCAAGTCCAGCCCAGCTATCAGTGCTTCCCTGGAGATAGAAGCCTTTATATCTCTTTTATGCATGGAGAAACTGAGGCACAGGAAGTCAGAAGATACATGGAGAAACTGCCCAGGCCCCCAGCTACCCCACAACATTGCCACCTGGGACAGCTGAAGCCATCAGGGGGACAAAAGCAAAGTTGATGCATTTGTGCCTGCCTTACACCATCCCCCCTGCAACCTGCCCACACCCCACACCTGCTCACACCTTCCCCACCTCATACCCCTCAGCTTCCTCTACCTCCTGTCTAAGTCACAAAGGCAAAACCAATGCTATCAACTGTGGGGTGGAAACTTAAAACCTCTCTCTATAAAAACACAACAAAGCCTAACAGAATGGCTCAAGTGGTAGAGTGCCTGCATATCAAACTCAGGGTCTTGTCCCTGAGTTCAAACCCCCAAACAAAACAACAACAACAAAAGCCACCACAATGCACAAACAATAAATGATGGTACTGGTTCAAATAAATTTCTCTGATATTAAAAAAGAAGAAGAATGGAGGGACGTCTACAAACTCAAAGGAAATGTTTGAGAAATAAAAACAGGTCAAGAGCTAATATGCCTAATTTATAGTGAGGCTTATCAATTAATAGGAAGATGAATTGGAATATACAGTACTAGCTGGGCACAGTGATACACATCTGTAATCCCAGCCACTCAGGAGATGACTAGTTCCCAGCCAGCCCTGGGACATCGTGATAACATAGTCTTTGAGCCATGGGTTTGTAAAGGTTAAAATGGCACTAGAGTATGACGTCCCTTCTCCCTGGAAACACCATGTCTAGAATGTATCTTCAGGAAATTATCTTTGGCCACAGAAACCAAATCATAGTGTTACGTGTTGCAGTGTTGCTTTCAATGCAAAAATTAGCAACTGAGAAAGGACCTCTATGTCCACATGAGAGCTGCCATGCTGACCGTGGCGCTGACCGTGGCATGCATACCGCAGGCATCAGACTGCCTGTGCCAAAGAGGAACCTGCAGTCTCCAGCACGAGACACGATGACGCCAGGCAGGCTGGCTGCAGAATATGAAATATGGATGTTCTGCGGCTGTGCATGTATTTTATGTCTTTCCGAGTGAAAAATGGAGTAACAGGCACAGGAAATTGACAATGGTTTTCTCTGAGTGTGGGATGCAGAGCCTTTTGCCCCTCTTTCTCAGTGCCTGTGTTATCTGGGGCTGGTTTAGCATCACAGAGGGCTTGGGGTGGGCAGCCTGGGGACCTAGCTTCCCAGCTCTCTTAGAGGCTCTTAGGGACACAGTCTCCCTCCTGACCCTCTCCATCCTCCCTCTGCTTGTGGCCCCAGCACCTCACTGGCTCAGTGCCCTCACTGGGGTGTCCTGTGCTTCTGCAGTGTGCACCAGCCTCTGCACCTGGCACCCCACCCCTCAGCATCTGCAGGCCACCAGCCCTCCATGCAGAGTTGGGCATGTCACTATAGTGTCCACATTTGGAGCCTCCAGCCAGCAACTGTGGCCCAGACAGCTACCACTGACTTCGTTTTTTTTTTTTTCATTTTTCTTTTATTATTCATATGTGCATACAAGGCTTGGTTCATTTCTCCCCCCTGCCCCCAACCCCTCCCTTACCACCCACTCCGCCCCCTCCCTCTCCCCTCCAATACCCAGCAGAAACTATTTTGCCCTTATTTCTAATTTTGTTGTAGAGAGAGTATAAGCAATAATGGGAAGGAACAAGGGTTTTTGCTGGTTGAGATAAGGATAGCTATACAGGGCATTGACTCACATTGATTTCCTGTGCGGGGTGTTACCTTCTAGGTTAATTCTTTTGATCTACCTTTTCTCTAGTTCCTGGTCCCCTTTCCTATTGGCCTCAGTTGCTTTAAGGTATCTGCTTTAGTTTCTCTGCATTAAGGGCAACAAATGCTAGCTAGTTTTTTAGGTGTCTTACCTATCCTCACCCCTCCCTTGTGGCTCTCGCTTTTATCATGTGCTCAAGTCCAATCCCTTGTTGTGTTTGCCTTGATCTAATGTCCACATATGAGGGAGAACATACGATTTTTGGTCTTCTGGGCCAGGCTAACCTCACTCAGAATGATGTTCTCCAATTCCATCCATTTACCAGCGAATGATAACATTTCGTTCTTCTTCATGGCTGCATAAAATTCCATTGTGTATAGATACCACATTTTCTTAATCCATTCGTCAGTGCTGGGGCATCTTGGCTGTTTCCATAACTTGGCTATTGTGAATAGTGCCGCAATAAACATGGATGTGCAGGTGCCTCTGGAGTAACAGTCTTTTGGGTATATCCCCAAGAGTGGTATTGCTGGATCAAATGGTAGATCGATGTCCAGCTTTTTAAGTAGCCTCCAAATTTTTTTCCAGAGAGGTTGTACTAGTCTACATTCCCACCAAGAGTGTAAGAGGGTTCCTTTTCCCGCATCCTCGCCAACACCTGTTGGTGGTGGTGTTGCTGATGATGGCTTCTAACAGGGTGAGGTGGAATCTTAGCGTGGTTTTAATTTGCATTTCCTTTATTGCTAGAGATGGTGAGCATTTTTTCATGTGTTTTTGGCCATTTGAATTTCTTCTTTTGAGAAAGTTCTGTTTAGTTCACCTGCCCATTTCTTTATTGGTTCATTAGTTTTGGGAGAATTTAGTTTTTTAAGTGCCCTATATATTCTGGTTATCAGTCCTTTGTCTGATGTATAGTTGGCAAATATTTTCTCCCACTCTGTGGGTGTTCTCTTCAGTTTAGAGACCATTTCTTTTGATGAACAGAAGCTTTTTAGTTTTATGAGGTCCCATTTATCTATGCTATCTCTTAGTTGCTGTGCTGCTGGGGTTTCATTGAGAAAGTTCTTACCTATACCTACTAACTCCAGAGTATTTCCTACTCTTTCTTGTATCAACTTAAGAGTTTGGGGTCTGATATTAAGATCCTTGATCCATTTTGAGTTAATCTTGGTATAGGGTGATATACATGGATCTAGTTTCAGTTTTTTGCAGACTGCTAACCAGTTTTCCCAGCAGTTTTTGTTGAAGAGGCTGCTATTTCTCCATCGTATATTTTTAGCTCCTTTGTCAAAGATAAGTTGCTTATAGTTGTTACCACTGACTTCTTTATGGCTGAAGCCATCAGGTGGAGCCAGTGCCAGGGAGAGAAGAAGGGACAGGTGTGGGACCCTCAGGATGGCTTTGGCACCGCTGGCATCCAAGACTCTCAAACCCTGTCACTTTGCATGACCAGTACTGACAAATACACATCATCTTCAAGATTTGATGTATAGAAAATTTCCCCCTCAAATCCAAAAGCAGCCATGTTGGCACAATTGTGCTCCTGGGCAGCAGGAGTTCTCTTCCCAGCAGCCTCATGCACGAGGAGCAAAGGACTATGGGGGAACAGAGCCCAAGAGGTTGATTCTGTGTCCCAGCGTCCCAAAGAGCCCTGGAGGAAATAGGGCCACCTGTGGCTCATCCATGAGTAGAGCCAGGTATTCAGCAGGTGTCCATCAGCTCCCAGCAGATTCTGGCCCCTACTCATGACCACTCAACAAAGAAACCTTGAACTAGTCATTGCCCCTCTGGGCCTCAGTTTCCCCATCTGTGAATTAGGGGTGTTGGGTTCACATTCCCCTCAAGTGCTGACTTTGTTTGTTGCCAGGCTGAGTTGGTGGTCTGTCCACCTGCCCCTCAGCTCCCACCAAAAGGAAGTAAGGCCCCTCTCATTTCCCTTTCGGCTCTGAAGCAACTTCCCAAAAGATAAGCAGACAACACCATAAGCCCTTCGCAAAGTCCTTGTCATCTGAGTATCACTCCCACCAGACCCCACCCTGTTGACCACAGGCCACACGCGCACAGGGCCGAGCTGCCAGAATGCTCCCACTTCCTGCCCCCTCCATGCTCAGGGCTGCGCTCTCCACAGTCCTTCCCCTGACCCTGTGCAGTGTTCGCCACTCATCTCAGCACCCACAGTCATCACTGCCTTTCTGGCTGTGTGCAAACCTTGATGGTGAGGAGAGCAGGGACAAGTCCACCCCATGCAGCTTCTCAGGGTGCCTGGCCCCATGCTGGGCATGTCAGGTTTATCCCTCTCATGACGAGAACATGCACTCAGACTTCTGTGACGGGGCCCCTCGTCTGTAAAATGGGGACAAGATGATAGCTGGATGCCGCGAGGATCAACTGAGGTACAGCTAGCAATGCTCTCAGAATGCACCTCCGCAGAGCAGGACTCCATCACTGCATCAGCTTGGACAAACACCATAGGAGTTAGAAGGCACAGTGTTGACCACAAGGAGAAAACTTGAGGGGAAAGTCCAACCCCTGAGGCTGAGGCTTTGGGAGATTCCTGCAGGGGGGCATTTAGACTTGGAAAAGCAGAGATCGGCCTCAACCCAGGGAAGCCCGGCACCGTGGAGGAGCTGTGGAAGCACCTGCCACCCCCTCATCAACTCCAGAGGGTGTTGATCAGCTCCCTCTGTTAAAGCTAAGCTCCTAATGCAAGGATGCAGCCAGAGGGCAGCAGCCAGCAGAGAGAGGGTCAGCATGGTGGGCAAAGGGCTCCAAGGAACGGGGCCTCTGCCACCCAGGGCCTCTCCAGGTGTTGCCCAC